ATGGCTGGGTGGCTCAGACTGAGTCGGCTGAAATTAAACCTGGCAAAGACGGAGGTCCTGGGGCTGAGTCGGATTGGCCCGGGGTTGGGGCTTCCTCTCCCGACCTTCGACAGGGCGCCCTTGGTGCCGAGGAAGCTGCAACTAGTGCAGAATGCTGCAGCCAGGCTGTTGATGGATCTTCCTAGACGAGATCACATCCAGCCTGTGCTGAAAGCGCTGCACTGGTTGCCTATAGCGTACTGGGTTCGCTTCAAAGTGCTGTTTATTACCTTTAAAGCCCTATATGGCCAGGGACCAGCCTACTTAAGGGATCGCCTTTCCCCACGTTTCCCCAAGAGCACTACGGTCGGGGAATCAGAACTTACTAGACGTCTCAGGTCCCCGGGTCATCAAACTCGTCATGACCAGAAACAGGGCGTTTTCGGTGGCGGCTCCTATCTGGTGGAATGAGCTCCCAGAGGAGATCAGAGCTCTGCGGGACCTAGCACAGTTCCGCAGAGCCTGCAAGACGGAGCTCTTCCGCCAGGCATTCGAATAGGAGCCACCATCGCCATTGTACCACCAACGCCCCATGATTTCTGTACAGGGTCATCATGATGCGGGCACTTTGGGTGAGAATGGGACGTTTTAGGAGACGGCCATCTTGTTTTTAGGAGAGGAGCACCAAAAAATTGTTTATGACTGTGATGTGTTTTAATATTTTTAATGTTTTTATTGTTCTATTGTATGATTTGGCGATATGCCGTGTAAGCCGCCCTGAGCCTCCGGGGAGGGCAGGATAAAAATGTAAATAATAATAAATAATAATAATAATAATACAGGAAGTCACTGAAGAATTTGGGAAGATTTCAGGCCTAACATTTAGCAAAGAAAAATCAGCATTACACCCCGTACATATAAGTCATTTACAATTGAAACGAATCACAGAAGAATTTTATTACCGATACTCAAATAAACCTTGGAGATACTTAGGAGTGCATATTCCTCAAAATCTAGAGCAACTATTTTAATGTAACTTTTAAAAAAATTGCAAGATGAAATTAAAAACACACTAAAAAAATGGGACGCAAAAACACTAAATGGGAGAGATAGATTACATTTAATTAAAAATTTTCATTCTTCCTAAATATCTTTTTATGTTTAGAGCCCTCCCAATACTTATCCCAAAGACAATAATAAAAGGTTGGCAACAGGCTTTAAACAAGTTCCTTTGGAACAAAAAGAAAAAAACACAGAGTAAATTTTAAAACACTTTCCAGGATATCAACAAGAGGAGGTATAGATTTACCTAATTTATACATGTATTACGAATCCTCCAATATAGCAACACTAATTAAAGCAGCAACTAATACACAACCCCCAGATTGGGTAACAATTGAACTGAAATTGTACCCCAAGAAGACAAGCTCTTTATATGAATTACTATGGGATCTGGAAAATCGATATTTAAACAACAATACCCAAACAAATTTATTAGAAACTTCACTAAAAATAAGAGTTGTTAGCACCTAAAATATCAAATCAAGCTTCTTATACAAATCGAAGTTGGTTCGCTCCAGGACAATCAATCAATCAATCAATCAATAAACCTTTAATAGCATATACAACCTTAAAAATCAAGACAGAAAATGACAAAATGACAACTAAAAGTCTAGGTTAATTATAAAATCATGAAACGGACTTTCCCAAATTTTTCACTCTCAATACGTCAACTAAAAAATTGGCCACTCGCTCCAGGACAAGACACCAAAGAATTTGAAAGATGGCAACAATCAGGAGTTACAAAGATAAAACACTTTTTGGAAAAAGATAAGATAGAAAAAACGAAATTAGAACAAATTACTCAACATAAGGTACTTTGGTACAAATACCTACAAATTAAACACCTATTGGAATCACCCCAATTGAAACAAACTAGAACAAGACATATGACACCTTTTGAAACTTTATTAAATGAAGGAAAGGAACAAGAACCAGGTTTAATTACAAAAATATACCACATGTTAAACAAGGCAGATGAAGAAAAATCAATGTTATATCAGGTAAAATGGTCTGAAGACCTTAAACTCAAATTAACTGAAGAAGATTGGGAACTAATTTGGAGCTCCCCCAGTCAAACATTAAAAATCTTCACTATTTAAAATGCAGGCATTTAAAATACTTACCAGATGGAATATTCCACCAAAAACAACACATAGTATAAACAAGGCATATACACCTAACTGCACCAAACAATGTAGACAAACTGCAGATTTGATACACTCCTGGTGGTCTTGCGCTTTAGTTCAAAAATTTTGGATTCATATAAGTCTCATGTAAATAAATAAATAAATAAATAAAATAGAAGAAATGGTTTCAATAAAAATTCCTTCAAACCCAGCTGTAATATTATTAGAATATTGGAATGACATCCAAATGACATTAAGACAACAAGAAACAATTTCTATGCTCTTGATGATAGCAAAAAAATTGATAGCAACCAAATGGATAGAAAAACAAGTCCCCTCCGTCCAACAGTGGCTAGTAAAAATCTGGGATTATTTTATTTTAAGCAAATTGTCATTTAATGCTGGTAACAATTCACCTATGCAATACCAGAAAAAATCCGTACCAATTTGGTATCCTATTGTGAGTTACCTAATGGAAATAGAAGTACTTCCAAAGAATCCTATATACCACAATATGATTTTCTTTTGATGTTCTAAAGTTATATATGATTGTAAGTATTGCTCGTTCTTTTCATTTTATTCTTTGTAAAATTTTGAAAAATTGTTAATAATTTAAAAAAAAAAAGCATAGAGAGTTGAGAAAAATACCTTAATCCAGGGGTCATTTCCTGCTGGAGCACCCTGGAGCAGTGCTCTGGCAGTAAGGAGCCCAGACCCCACCCCCAGCCTTTCCTGGCTGCCGGCGGAGAGACTTGGGGGAGGATTTAAATCCCTGGGTTCCCTGCCCAGTCTTCTCCAGGTGCCCCGCAGCCACGGGGCACCTGGAGAAGATCGGGCAGGGGAGCCAGGCATGTCTGCTTTCCTGCCCTCCCCCTCTCCAGTCAGCCCGCTGCAGCAGGTTGGCTGGAGAGAGGAAGGGGAGGTGGGCAGACATGGCCTCTTACCCCCTGAGCCTCTCTACTTTTGCAGAGAGACTCGGTGGGGGATTTAAATTTCTGGGTTCCCTGCCCGATCTTCTCCAGGTGCCCCGCAGTCACGGGACACCTGGAGAACATTGGGCAGGGGAGCCAGGCATGTCTGCTTCCCTGCCCTCATAGAATCATAGAATGTTAGAGTTGGAAGGGACCTTGCAGGTCATCTAGTCCAACCTCCTGCACTCTGCAGGAGCATAGCTGAAAGATAGCCCTACATACCTACAACATACCCAAAAGATGGTCATCCAGCCTCCGCTTGAAAACGTCCAGCGAAGGAACATCCACCACCTCCCGAGGCAGACTGTTCCACTGCTCAACCACTCTTACAGTTAGGAAGTTTCTCTTGATATTTAGCTGGTAATGACTCCCTTGTAATTTCCACCCATTAGATCTAGTCTTGCAATCCGGAGCAAGAGAGAATACATCCGCTCCATCTTCTACATGACAGCCCTTTCAAATACTTGAAGACTGCAATCATGTCCCCTCTAAACCTTCTCTTTCCCAGGCTAAACATACCCAATTCTTTCAGCCTTTCCTCATAAGACTTGGATTCCAACCCTTTCACCATCCTGCTAGATCCTTTTCACATGTGCTGCTGTCAAGCCAAGTCCCTCCCATTCTATATCTGTGCCTTTGATTTTTTGTACCTAAGTGTAGGACTTTGCACTTATCTCTATTGAAATTCATTTTGTCTCAGCCCACTGTTCCAGCCTATCTAGATCATTTTGAATCCTGACTCTGTCTTCTTCAGAATTAGCAATCCCACCCAGTTTTGTGTCATCTGCAAATTTGATAAGCACCCCCCCTATGTCTTCCTCCAGGTCATTTATAAAAACATTGAACAACACCGGGCCTAGGACCGAGCCCTGGGGCACTCCACTCGAGACGTCCCTCCACGTACATGCAGAGCCATTTATGAGCACTTGTTGGGTACGATTTTTCAACCAACCATGAATCCATCCAATGGTTGCACGATCCAGCCCACACTTAACCAGCTTATCCGTGGCGGGTTGGCTGGAGAGGGGAAGGGGAGGTGGGCAGATGTGGCCCCTTTCCCCCTGAGCCTCTCTGCTTTTGCGGAGAGACTCAGGGAGGGGGGGGATTTAAACTCATTTGCATATGCCTTAACTCATTTTAAACATGCCTGCCCTTCGTCAGGAGGAGTGGCATATGCAAATGAGTTATGCAAATGAGTTCCTGCACCTCTTTTTCTAGGAAATGACCCCTGCCTTAATCCCATTGTTCCTTTGCAAATGTACAAGAAACTCACACGCCAGGCTCTAGTGAGGAGAGGGACACTGAGATTTCTTGCTGAAATGGCTGCTATGTAACAGTAGCACCATTCAAGGGCAGTCATGGCAGGGAAAGGGAGAAAAGAGGGCTACACTGAACCCCAAGGTTGATCCCTTCCAACTTGTACTGTTCTGTAGAGGCAGGGGCCGGGCAGATGGGAGAATAAATACTGCTGAATGTTTTTATGGTGAAAGGCTTGAAAATCATGAACAATGGCTGCACTCCTAGGAACGCTTTCCTGGGAGTAAGCCCCAATGAATAAAATTGGACTTACTTCTGAGTATACCTGCTTAGACTAGCTCCTAATCTTCCTACATGGGACTCAATAACATTTTCAGCTGTTTAGTGCCCTGCATGCCTCCTTGCCATTCTTCATGACAAGCAAAATGAATTATTCAAACTAAGCAAATATATGCACATTTAATTATGTTGCAAAATGAAGCTTTTCTTGCAAAAGAAACTTTGGCTTTGAGTACAGAGTGCACAGAGCCTGCATTATAACATAAAAAGTTATCGCATTCCAAGTTTGTTTGTTGTATTCGTAGGACATATAATAAAAACATACCACTGTGCTGAATTCAGTTGCTTGCCATAGCAACCAGTCTTCATTCAGTGTGTACAACGCCTTGCATGTTATTACATCTACAGGACCTTTAATTATCCTTTGATTGAGTGTTGTTACAAGCAAATAGAATGGTTCTCCAACAGTTTCCTAAGAAACAAAACAAATATACTTTCTATTTTACTTATCTGTTCCTAGTTTTATTATCATTCCTTGCATTTCCTTTTGCATTAGAATTTTTTTGTGCTCAAGTTGTGTGTGTGTGTGTGTGTTTGTGTAAAGTGCCATCAAGCCACAGCTAACTTGTGACGACCATGTCGGGTTTTCAAGGCAAGAGATAACAGAGGTGGTTTGCCACTGCCTGCCTCCGCATAGAGACCCTGGAATTCCTTGGTTGTCTCTCATCCAAATACAAACCAGGGCCAAACCTATTTAGTTTTCCAGATCTGATGAGCTCAGGCTAGCCTGAGGGCATGTTCAAGAGAAACAAAAAGAACAGCATTAAAGATAAATAACAAGAATATCAACATGCCTATTCATTGCTTGTCCTGGGTCATGACCGCCTCCAAGTAACATATACTTTCAAGCAATGAATGAAACCATGATATAAATATCATATGTATTTTTTATATTTCAGAAAAAAAACATAGTATATGTGTCCTGGAAGCTGCCACTAACCACAGTAACCATGGAAGTATGTGTTTGTTTGGTTTAATTTACACATGAGAAATTATCATAGTCATAAGCTATATACTTTTTCCTACCCAGATGTGCTTTCTGTTGGAAACGTGTAAAAGCATCTGAAACAAGACATTCCACAGATACACTATAGAAAGGCAACTAATTCCTTTTCACATTATTCACCTTACATACCAATTCCTCTTTTGTCATTTAAATGACTTTGTCCCAAGATGTGGAGTTCCTGTTCCTTTCCTTAACTCAAAAGAGTGTGCAAAAAGACTGACTTCCTCACAGAGCTGAATGGGAAGGCCCCAACATGGGACTCTGTCTGCACCAAGCTTCCCAAGCTCTGAACAGATGACTAGATACAGGGGTCTTTTGGGGCCGAAGCGCATTGGAGTGCCGCTCTGGGAGCCCAGGAGCTGGCACAAATGGCGGTGGCAGCAAGCCCCGCCCCCAGCTCTCCACACTGCGGCCCATCGCCGGCCTCCTGGGGCCCCTGCCGGAGCGCTGCAGCCCCAGGGAGGCTCCAGGAGGCCCATTGCTGCTTTTCCGGAGCCCATGCCAGAGTGCTGCAGACCCAGAGAGGCTCCAGGAGGCCTGTCGCCGCCTCCCCGGGGCCCACACTGGAGCGCTGCAGCCCCAGGGAAGCCCCAGGAGGCACATCGCTGCTTTTCCGGGGCCTGCACCAGAGCACTACGGCCCTGGGGAGGTCAGAGGAGGCTTGTCGCTGCCTCCCCAGGCCAGCACCAGAGTGCTGCAGTCCGGGGGAGGCCAGAGGATGCCCGTCGCCGTTTTGCTGAGGCCCGCGCCAGAGCGCTGCGGCCCCAGGGAGGCCCTAGGAGGCCCATCGCCAGCTCCCCGGGGCCCGTGCCAGAGTGCTGTGCCCCAGAGAAGCCCCAGGATGCCCGTTGCCGCTTTCCTGGGGCCCGCACCAGAGCGCTGCTGCCCCAGGGAGGCCCCAGGAGGCTCGTTGCTGCTTCCCCGGGGCCCGCGCTGGAGTACCACAGCCCCGGGGAGGTCAGAGGAGGCTCGTTGCCGCCTCCCCAGGCCAGCACCAGAGTGCTGCAGCCCCAGGGAGACCCCAGGAGGCCTGTCGCCACCTTCCCGGGGCCCGCGCTGGAGCGCTGTGGCCCCGGGGAGGCCAGAGGATACCTGTCACTGCCTCCCCAGGCCAGCGCCAGAGCGCTGCGGCCCGGGGAGGCCAGAAGATGCTCCCCGCTGCCTCCCGGGGTAAGTGAGGGATCCATGGGGGGTGGCAAAGGCTTGATTGGGGGGTGGGGGGTTAGAGAGCCTCTCTCCTCCCCCATCTCTTTGCCCTCTTTATTTCCCTTCTTTCCTTCCCCTTTCCTTTTCTTTCCCTCCTTTTCTTTCTCTCTTTCCCCTCTTCCTTCCTTCCTTCCTCTTTTCCTCCTTTCTTTCTCTCTTCCCCTTCTCTTCCTTCCTTCCTCTTTTCCTCCTTTCCTTCTCTCTTTCTTTCTTTCCTCTTTCCCTCCTTCTTCCCTTCTCTTTCTTTTTCTCTTTCCTTCCTTCTTTCCTTCTTTCGTTCCTTCTCTCTCTTCTCTCTCTCTCTTTCCTTCCTTCTTTCCTCCTTCTGTGGCCCAACTCTAGTGAGAATGGGTTTAAACTTTAAACCCCTTCTCTCTTCACTTCCCCCCCACTGGCTGGGGAAGGGAAGGGGAGGCTTTCCCCCCCTTTTGCTTTCCCTTCTGCCATCACTTCCGGTGATGTCAGGGGGCGTTGCATATGCTAATGAGCTATTATGCTAATAGCCTAGTAGCTCATTAGCATACTGTATGCTAATGAGCTCCTGCAGCTTTTTCTATGAAAAGATCCTAGATAACAAATGGATGCAAATGCCCATCACATGGTAGTTTCAGATTTCTGCATGAAAATAAACAGATGTCCCATCTATTGTATTAAACAGTAAAAAGATGTAATACTTGCCCGAAGGAAAGCTGACAGGCAAACAGACATCCAATTTGTCAGCAGCTTTTCCACTACCGATTCCGTACGCCTTAGCATAAGCTTTGGTTGTATATTGCTAGACTGTTCCATTAAGTCCCTCATCAAAACTTCTAGAATATGGGTTAAGTAGACTAGGTTTGTTTGCAATGCAATTGTCAAAAAAGATGCAAACCGGCACCTGTTTATAAAGAGCACAGTAAGTTTGATGGCGAAAAAGAGAGGACTTCACTACAAGCTAAAGTATCTTTTAGCCTAATTTTATTTTAAGTAATAACACTAATTTAACTTTTACTTTGCCACATCCATACTTTACCCACTGACACTAAATATGCTTTATAAAACTCAATAAAAGAATAAAGGACATTGGGAAAGGATGAACTTTGGAAGCTGCCATGGAAAAGACATGAATGCTTACCATTAAAGGGCAGAACGGTGGAATAACCAAATGGCAGATACTGTCTGAGTACAGACAATCCCCATGGCAAATAAAGCTAGGGATTGTGCTATTTATGGTCTTGACAAGAACCACAACACCACAGTTATAAACTCTTGCTACCACTCCACAGATGGCCAAAACAAAGACCATAGGGCAGAAGCAATATGATTTTTCTATATAAACCAATAATCAGTTTGCCAATATTCTGTATAAGCTTCAAGGATGCAAAGGGTTCGACAGATCATAAAAGAGTAAATGCAAGAACTGAAATTCTTTCAAGTCAGACAAGAGTGTAACTTTTGTAAATTTTCTCCTAGGAAAACAAGACTCTAACCTGAGACTTTGTAGAAAGAACTCCCTTGAGGATATTTCAAGATTTTTGGTCACCCCATGATTTTTAAAATGTATTTATTTAGGTTATTTATAGTCTACCTTTCTCAATCAAACTCAGGGCAGATTACAGCAGAGTGAATCAATACATTGACAGGATGGGACATTCAATGAACAATGTAATAGGAATTAGGGTTGTAGAACCAACCAGAAATTTAAGAACAGAACTGAAGCAAAGTATAAGTATTAACATGAAATATTAAATCATGAAAAAATACATAGAAGGATCCCAGTGACAGCAAGCTATGTAATAATTGATATAAGTAACCTTGTGAAACATTTAGTACAGTGCGACTCCATCGCTTACATAGAAAAGCCCTCTTGAATAATTCAGTTCTGCATAATTTGTGGAAAGCAAGGAAAGTGGGAGCCACAATGGAGAAGGCACATGTATGAACAGTTGTTGATTTTGAGGGGAGACCAGTGTACAGTGCATTACATAATCTAGCCTTGATGTTACCGTGGCATGGATCCAGGTGGCCACATCAGCCATATCAAAGTAAGGGGCCATCTTTTGGCCTAGGTTGAGTTAGAAGAAAGGCTCTTTACAGCCGCATTAACTTGCTTCTCCAGTAATAAAATGAATGTAGATACCACACTAGTAGTACTAAAAGCAGGTGCTGGACAGAAGCAAGGTATACCTCCTACCCACTATCCTACCCTTCCTTACAGTGCTTCAGTGCTGCTGGCTTCTCTACAAAGTTGACTCCAGTGGCTTGTATTCAGAGAACCATAAGTGGCATTTGCTCATCAAAAGAGCTTTCCTGCTTTTTGTCACTCCAGCCATTGTTGTGCTGGAAAATCACTTCTGGGGTTCAGGGACCCTTCAGAAGAGCATGCACTTGCTAGTGGGTGGGAGGAAACTGGAGATGTTTCCCCCTTCCACATATGTTGGGGTTTCATTGGAACTAAAACAACGTTTTCAGCTAGCTATAGTAATCATGAACAACTCCAGGTCCATTTATCCATTGATGGACTACATATCCATCAGTGCACATAAAACAAAACCCATGCACACTAAGTAATGTGAGAGTTTCATTCTACAAAAACAGTTTGCATGTTTCCAAGATATTTCTGTCCATTTTGATTTACTTCTGCAATTATGCCTATGCAATACATTCTATTAAGAAACAGTCGCATTATCCGCCTATGATTTTATTTAACTAAAATTAATTTTGAGTACTGCTCAGAGTGAGATGGTGAGGAAAGAGGAAAACAGTTCTAGGGAAAACATATTGTACATGATTAAGCAAAATGAAATCTGGCATTTCTGTATTGAAAGCATGCTTTAAAAAATCTATAGGTTGAAGAAAGTAACTTTTATGTCATACCTGTCTTTCACAGAGAAGGTTTTCTGCTTTTCAAGAGTGTGGATCAGAGTAACAAGAAAATTCTTGTTACACATTAATCCAAACAAGGCTGTAATACCTGCATCCTTACAATGTGGATTTCTGCTCTGTAATAGTTAAAATGCATTACTTCTAGGGTATTTGTAATGTGATACACATTTTTTCTTAATTACAGCAGTAAAGATCAGAATAAATGGTATTGTGTTAATATGATAAGGCAGGGAAGGTAAAATAATCTATTCTTGCTAGTAAGATTCTGTAAAGTTTCTCTGCGCAATTTTTCTTAACTGAAATTGATGGTATAATAGGAATGAAAACCTCAACACAGTTATCAAGAAAAGTTGGCCCAAAACTTGGCCCAGAACCTTGCTTATCTCCCTAATATCAAGGATTTACAGATATATATACTAATTCTTACTCGGACTTTCTATGGTCATTCATTCAGATTTATAACCTGAATGTCATTACAATAATTGTCACAGATATATGCATTATTTATTTGGCAAAAAGACAAGATAAAAATGGGCAGGTGAAAGGAGAGACACAATAGGTGAAAGATATAGGATGAAGTTTGACATTGCCTTACATTTTTCACATCTGAAGGCATCAACATTAAAATGAGAATACTGTACTAGTACTGCATCACCTATATTTTTCCACCTGTCATGTTCATCAAAATGAAAAATGCATTCTATATATATTATGCATGAAAATCAGCCAAACTTTCTGGTCATATTTTAATTTATGTAATATATTTGCTGCATTCTCTACACAAGCAACATAAGACTCAATATAAATATTACAATAAAATTAGATTACAAAAATCCTACTGCCATGGTGCCCCATTCTGCTAAACAAATTGTACGAGACCTGAAATTAAAGATAAATACTTACAAGTGGTTGATTAGTGTCTTCAATGAAGAGAGATGCCAAGTTTTCAGACTAAAATTAAAGGTAAGTAGATGTGTCACAGCTAGAAACTTCTACATGTTGTACAAACATAAATAGTATTATTATAAATCGCAAAAAAACTGAAAAAGCAGTGAAGATTCTGGACTTCGTTAGCATGGATAAACTGCATGTATTCTGTATGAAGAACAAATCAGATTATATTAATTTTCAAAACAGCAACAATGCATAATGAAGCAAATGATTTTTCATTGGAAGACTTTAGCATAAACTGGCCCACGACATTCAGATTTCAATTTTAAGCAGTTTTAACATGAATTTACACAAAATCCTCTGGAGTAATGTTAAGACAATGAATAGACTTTTTAGTGGGTTGTCACATGATTATATGGCCTTCTGAGCAGCATACATTGCAACACAACAAGCTATAAGGAATGACCAAACAAGGGATAAGAACATAAGAACATAAGAGACGCCAATGTTGGATCAGGCCAAAGGTCCATCCAGTCCAACACTCTGTGTCACACAGTGGCCAGAAATACCAGGTGCCATCAGGAGGTCCAGCAGTGGACTCTTTGGGTGAAGAAGTACTTCCTTTTATCCGTTCTAACCCGACCGCTCTGCAGTTTCATGGAGTGCCCACGAGTTCTTGTATTGTGAGAAAGGGAGAAAAGTACCTCTTTCTTTACCTGCTCTTTCCCATGCATAATCTTATAAACCTCGATCATGTCACCCCTCAGTCGTCTTTTCTCCAAGCTAAAGAGCCCTAAGCGCTTTAACCTTTCCTCATAGGGAAAGTGTTCCAACCCTTTTATCATTCGAGTTGCCCTTTTCTGCACTTTTTCCAAAGCTATAATATCCTTTTTAAGGTGTGGTGCCCAGAACTGCACACAGTATTCCAAATGAGGTCTCACCATTGATTTATATAGGGGCATTATTATATTGGCTGATCTGTTTTCAATACCCTTCCTAATAATCCCCAGCATAGCATTGGCCTTCTTTATTGCAGTCACACACTGTCTCGACATTTTCAGTGAGTTATCCACTACAACTCCAAGATCTCTCTCTTGCTCAGTCTCTGCCAGTTCAGACCCCATCAATGTGTATTTATATTTAGGATTTTTGGCTCCAATGTGCATCACCTTGCACTTGGCCACATTGAACCCCATTTGCCATGTTGACGCCCACTCGCCCATCCTTGACAGATCCCCTTGGAGTGCCTCACAATCCTCACTGGTTTTCACCACCCTGAACAACTTTGTATCATCCGCAAATTTAGCCACTTCACTGCTTACTCCCATCTCCAAATCATTAATGAACAAGTTAAAAAGCAGTGGACCAAGTACTGATCCCTGCGGTACCCCACTGCTTACCACCCTCCACTGAGAAAATTGCCCACCTACACTCACTCTCTGTTTTCTATGAACTAGCCAGTTTTTGATCCATAAAAGGACTTGTCCTTCTATCCCATGATTTTTGAGCTTACTTAGGAGCCTTTGATGAGGAACTTTATCAAAAGCTTTCTGGAAGTCAAGGTAAATAATATCTATTGGATCCTCCTTGTCCACATGTTTGTTCACCCCCTCAAAGAACACTAACAGGTTAGTGAGACAAGATCTTCCCTTACAGAAACCGTGCTGAGTCTGCCTCAATAGGTTTTGTTCATCTATGTGCCTACTAATTCTTTCCTTAATAATGGTTTCCACCAATTTACCCGGTATCGACGTCAGACTGACTGGCCTGTAATTTCCCGGATCTCCTCTGGAACCCTTTTTAAAGATGGGAGTGACATTAGCTACCTTCCAATCCTCAGGAATGGAGGCAGATTTTAAGGAAAGATTACATATCTTTGTCAGGAGATCTACAAGTTCACATTTGAGTTCTTTCAGAACTCTCGGATGTATGCCATCTGGGCCTGGTGATTTTTCAGTTTTTAAGTTGTCTATCAGTTTTAGGACCTCCTCTCTCGTCACCTCAATCTGACTCAGGTCTTCCAACACCCCTCCTGAAATCAGTGGTTCTGGAGTGGGCAAGCACTTCTCATCTTCCACAGTGAAGACGGAGGCAAAAAATGCATTTAACACAGATCTATTGTACTGAGAGCTGTGTGTGTGTGTAGCTACATGGAGCTTTTTTTTTTTTAAAGCCAAGCTATGTTAGCAAAAACCTGGAAGAATCATTATGTGAATCCATATTTACACTGCTAAATTTTCTGCAAGGATGGAAACAACCTTCAAATATGGCTCTTCCCTGATCACATCTAAAGCAGGTGGGTATACAATTCGAAGTACAGGGCAGATGGCAGCAACTGCAGAACTCTGTCCCTTCTCCTGCTTCTACAGTCCATCCTTACAAGCCTTTTTTCCCCTCTAGGGAGATTCTCAGGTCAGAAGCAAGGCCAGCTGGGAGACAACCACTTGGCAGGCCAAGGAAAACAAGAGGAAAATATAACATAAGAACTTAACCTAAGAGATGCCCTACTGGCTCAGCCCAGTGGTCCATCTCATCCAGTTTTCTGTTCCACACAGCAGCCAAACAGTTGCCCTTGAAGGCCAGCAAACAGGGCACAGAAGCCAAGGCCTCCCTCGAATGTTGATTGCTTCACACCACTAGCATTCAGAGGTTTGCTGCCTCTGAATATGGAGGTTGCCTTTAGCCATCTTGACCAGTAGCAACTGAATCTGTCTAACCCTCTTTTAATGAGGAAGGTGTGTGTGAGGGGGTGAGCGGCAGACATGGCCAGCTCAACCCATTTTGCCACATTCCTTCCGTGCCACCCCAGCAGGGTCCATTGCTCCAAATTCAACACCTCTGCAGCCTGCCTTCAACATGAATGGCAAAGGCAGGTCTGGGAGGCAATGAACAATGCAAGCCATGCTTGTCCCTTCCTCTTATGTTGCTGACACCACTAATATGGCACCCCAAGCTGCCTCTTCAGTTTCTTGGGCAGTTGCTCAACCTAGATGCAACACAGGAAAGTACAGTAATAACAGCTTCTTTTGCTGCTACAGGGCACTCAGAGGTGATAACCTGAGGATATTATATAGTCTAAAACGACAAGTTTTACTAATCTGAAATCAACTAGTTTTAGTCCCTTGAAGCATTTCTCCTCATAGTATTAGAGTCATTAATTGTGTGAAAGCCCACTATAAACTAGGAACTTGGGGCATTTCCCTTACAGAAAAAGGATTATAACAAACAACTCCCCCCCCCGAGTCATTTATATATTTATTTATTTATAAGTTCGATTTGTAGCCCTCCCTCCCCGCTGCGCAGGCTCAGAGTCATTTACCTCTGGGAAAAAAGTTCTGAGAACAAAGTGTGTATAGTCAAGGAAGGGGATTGTTTCAAAACTATCAACCACATCCAATTTTTCCATCTGTAGTTCAGCAAATCCTGTAACAACAAAAAGATTTCCTGGAGCATTGGTTTGGATAATGTAACATTATGTTAATTACAGCTTTCAATATGATTCTGGAAAGTAGTTATTAGAGAGAGTTCTCATAGAACACATTATCTCTGTACCCAATTTTTATAGGACGTAAAATATTGATTACATGGGCTTTTTTTTTGTATCCAGTTTTCCTGAAGCAAATCATTGCATACTATTCCTTGGTGGCCTAAACAGCAACCAAGAAGGGAAGGGCTGCCATAACATCTATCAGCAGACATTGCTTACCAGCTGGAAGAAAAACGAGGAGTGGGAATGGCAACATACACGGCCACATGGTTGCTGACTAGCCAGCAGCTCTCAGTGGAGGATATGATGTTGTGGCCGGCTCACACGCTGGGCACTTCTGGCCTGTCAACAGGCACTGCTGCACAATGCCTGGCTGTCCAACAGTTCTGGAGCCACCACTCAGCAGTGACAGTTGATTCATCACCATTTGCTTCCTCCCACTGACCACCAACACTTATTCTATCACACTATCTGCTGATACTGATATTAAAAACCTATATTTTATAACTAATGCAGCTTTGCAAATAAAATAATGCATGTTCTCAAGTGAAGCGGACTCTAAAAATGAAAACACATCTAGGACTCAATCTACCCTTCCACACACACAAAAACAGCCAGTGAAACCCACCGTCACGTATCTCTTTGCGAAGTTCACATTCCAGTAGTTCCAGGTGTTCACTCAGTTTGCGGTTTAATTGCTTGGATTTTCTTTGAGTGACAAAGACTGCAACTGGGGGGGGGGAATAAAATGTTTATTAATACAAAATATGCAAGTGTGTGTGTGTGAAGTATATTTTTACATTCATTTTATGAAAAAGCCACAGAATTGATCATTAGATTCCACAATAATATGTCTCTGATCAAGTCAGACAGGCAGCCACACAGGACAGGCTGCTCAAACTAGTTCTAGTTTCTAAAAGACATTTGATGCATTTGAAACCTTTACTTTTCCCATGAGAGTGAATGTCAGCCTAACTCTTGAAAGTGAATGGGTAACCTCAGGGGGACCATTGTGCAGGGATACTCTGACTACTGGTCACCACAGAGCCAGTGGTGAGGGGCCATTTTCTTCTCTCTTGAATGTATCCCGGCATTTACTTTGTCCTTTAAAATTTAATTGGAGCTACAGGTCACAGCCCAAACAAGAACTCATCTGCACCTGTATGTCAAGCACACTGCCAGTCTTAAATTAGATTGAGCAGAAGTAGTAATGCACCTTCATGCTAACTTTCCCCCTCTTGGCATTTCTGCAGACACCACTCAAATAATCTCTCCACACTTAACTATATCAGACTTGAAAACAGACATATACAGCTTCACTAGAGAATTTAACGTGGAAGAGTTATGGCATTTAGACACACAAACCAACCCCATACTCAACCAGTACCATTTAAAAATAATTGTACAGTACAAAGCTTCAAACAACTATTTGATAGCCTGCCTGAAGCATGGAGAGCAAATGAGCAGAAAGAGATAATTAAGTTTTCATTCACGTGTTTTAAAAAGATGTTACTTACCCCCAATCACTACAGGGATGAACAAGAGAATGAACAGAAATGAATAGTTGGGTGATTCATTTGGAACTATATGCTCACGGTTTCCTACTTTCACCTAGTGAATAAACAAGAAACTGTAAGTAAAAAAGAGCTAAAGATATATATCTTTATCAAATGATGGTCTGTTTGTAAACAAACTGGCCTATGGACATAAAAGGATGTAGGACAAAATTATATTTTCCCTATTTAATGTTAACTCAGAAAGTGTAACGCGAATGTTGATTTAAAAAATTAAATTATTTAAAGTGGACCAGTTTTGTCAAGCATTTCTACCTTGGGATGTTTACATGGAAAATAATATCCTAAGAGGGGGCTGGTTTTTGAACTGAAGCTTTAGGCCTATTCACAGATTGCACAAAATGAGTGCAGACACGTGTTCACCTATCTCACCCCATCCCATCTCTCCCAGTCTGGGTTGCCAACTGGCAGGGGTCATTTCGTAGAAAAAGAGCTAGGGGAACTCATTAGCATAACTCATTAGCATATGCCACACCCCCTGACATCAGGGGCCCGGCAGTGGACCTGCAAGGCCAGCGGGAGTGCAAGGAAGCTCCGCCAAGGCCCTCCCTGGCCCCAGGCAGGCAGGGGTGGGGAGAGGCGGGGAGGAAGCAACTTACCCTCCCTCTTCTCCTGCCTCCTCCTGGCTGAATGAGGGCTGGAAACGGTGCGGCCGGAAGCAGGGGGCGGGGCTTCGTTATGTGCCCCGCCCCCTGCACCTCACCCGGGGGAACTGCGTTCCCCCGCGTTCCCCCCGAAATGACCTCTGCCAACTGGTCAGCTTTCCACTGGTAGGGCCAGATGTTGCCCCTTCTGTTAGCAGTCAGACCCCTCCTCCCAGTTGAACGTCTGACTGGCTTATATCAAGAGTTATCTTGAGGGAAAAATCCCCATAAACATTAGTGGAGATTCCAGTTACCTTCTCTCGCTTGTCTTCTTTAAGCTAATTTCCTCCAATTAATTAGAAGACCACCTATTTGTGTAACACTTCCGGCTGTCAAATTTGTTTCCCCCACAAAATAGGGGGAATAGAATGGAGGTTGGGTTTTAACTATTTCTAAGTGCTTTTTAAGGCAAATGAAACTGCTGCACTCTGCCTTTCAGAACTTCACAGACTAGCATTCCAAGTTGGTTTTTTAAATTTTCAGTGGAAGTTTTTCTTTTCCTATGATTCATCTATAGATGTTTTTGAAAGATTAGTCTTACAGGATATTGAGTCTGCTGAAAGATCAAATAGGAACATCAGACCTAATATTACATATGGAGAATGAGTAGCCCTTACTAACCTTGAGAAAGATCAACAGATTGTAATAAAGGAGGCTGATAAAGGAGGAGGTATCGTGATCCTGAATAAAGAGGACTATTTGACAATGGTCTATACCCTCCTTAATAATACACAACATTATGCACTTATTGCACATGACCCTACCACTCATACTCAAAACTTAATTAAGACCACCATCACGGAAGCTTTTGCTTTAAATATTATTTCAGAATCCTTATTTAAGTTTTTTCAGGTTCCTTACCCCAGGATACCAGTTATATATGCATTGCCTAAAATTCATAAAAAAGGAAACCCACCCCCAGGACGCCCTATTATATCAGGGGTAGGATCTGTCTTTGAAACACAGATATAACCATAAAAATCAGTTTTAGCAGCTAAAGCCCTTGTGCTTTGTGGGGTTTTTTTTTCTTTATTAGAAAGCTAGTTTTAAAAATATAAAAACAGTAAAACAGAAAGCTGAAAGCTGAAAGCTGAAACTGTGGTAGGTGGCTGAGATCTTCTGACCCTGGAAAGTTCACTCTTCTCCAGCTTCTGCACACAGCCAGAATGTGTAATGGAAAGTCCCGTCCCTGGCTGGCTCTCTCTCAGTGGCACTGGGAACTCTATGGTAGGGGGGGAGTTTCTTTGGCAAACATGGCTTTTTTACTGTGCCAATCCCCTTTCTGAGCCCTGGAAGATACCACCAGCAGACAAACAATACTTCTGTGCAGAAACCACTGCAGAGAAACTGCAGAGAACTTGATAAGAGAAAAGTATTTAGGGAAGTTATAGTACTTTCACATTCAAAACTCTAAAACATCAATTTGAGGTTCTGACCTCTAAAAATTAATCTGACTATGTGAGTCACAAGCCTCTTTTCAGTCTGGAAACTGGTCTATTTAACATGATTACAAACACCAACTCAGTACATTCATTGCCACATCTGACTGCTGAAAAAGAAAAGTAGATTTGAGCATCATCACCATATATGTGATGCCTCATTCCAAATCCCAGCTGATCACATTGACTGGGTTCAAGTATCATTGGAGACAACATGGATCCTTGTAGGATCACACAGCATAAATGCCAAGTCACCAAGCGGCAGTGCCCCAGCACCACCATTTAATAGTGGTGTTAGACAGGAACCAAACCACTGAAGCACGGTGCTTCCAAAACTCATCCCTGACAGAATCTTCAGAAAAATACCCGGGCTGGTAACACTGAAAGCCATGAGAACTTCAGGAAATCACACTGTGCTGAATTCCCCATCTATCACATGCCACAGATCATCCATCAGGGCAATCAAGGCAATTTCAGTACTGAAGGTGAGTCGGAAATCTGAACTAGATAATCCATCTCATCCAGCAACATTGGGAGTGGTGCAAGTACAGCATGCCCAAGCACCATGACCAAAAATAAGGTATCTGTGGTCAGTTTATGGTTGTTAAAATCATCCAGGTCTAGTAAGGTTTCTTCAGAAAGGATTTCAAGACTGCTTCCTTCAAAAGAGTCATAATCACACATGCTATGATCAGAATAGGCAAAAAATCAGGGATTTAAGAATTTATTGATTGAATGAAATTAGTAGTGTAACAGTACTTCCAACCAAAGTAGCATCTGCTTTTAAAACAAACTTTAGGACTGAACCTACTGATTTAAAATCATAACCTTTAATCAGACTCAGGCAGCTGGAATGCTCCACAAGTTTCCAAGACAGCTGATGCAGAGCTATAGCTCTCAGATGAGTCTAGTAACTTGACTTGTACCTCCCTATGGTGGTACCTAGCTTGGGATAATGAAGTATTTTGTGAAGAAAACCATAATCTGAACTCACAACCTGTGCATGGAACAAACAATACCTTTCTATTGCACAACATACCATTCTTGTATATTCTTTAATCATTCTACCACATTCTAGTTACTGGACTCAAATGGCCACTTTCACCAGCAAGACATTATAAGCCAAGATGGGGGAAAATGAGCACAGAAGTGGTAGGCTGCAGCCTGCATCAGTCCAAATGCTCATTAAGATCTTTCGGCCTTAAAACAGAAATTCTTCCAAGGAACTGTGCTTAGGGTGAACTCCGGCAACATTCTGAAAATTTTCTCCACATAGCATCCAAGTCAAAATGTATACAAGCAATTGTATCTGCAACTGCCTTGCAAATGTCACGGTATGCTTCCAAACTGTTCACACTTAAATCCTAAGGATGTAGATTTTCTTTTACAACTGGAATAGCTCTGTTGGATGCCTTTGTACGAATGCTATTGTGACAGAGAAGAAAGTATGCTGCTACCCTTACCTCTTTTTAGTTGTATTCATCCCAACTTTTCTCCATGTATACTAAAGCCAGGCCTCATTTTGGGCTGGAGCAGGCCAGAGCAATGCTCCGGCAGTAAACAGGCCCACCCCAACTTCCGTTTTTTGGTGGCACGATGGCGGACGCGACCCTGGTGAGCTCCCAGGGTCGTGATCTGAACACCAGTGGTTGGGGGGGTGACTGTCCGCTACTCCACTACCCCCCCAGAGCCCTTTGGGATAGGGCTCCTAGCCAGGGGGCTTTTGAGGGGTTGCCTCTTCAACTGGCTCGATGCTGGGGAATTGAGGCTTCCCTCCACCCCGAAGGTCCTACCGCTGTGCAGCCAAATGGCTTAAGAGTCACTGACCGGGACAAGTGCATGAAGATCAGGCAAGATACACGTACCTTAAGCGGGTCTGGAGACCAACGATGAACTGTGTTGAGTTGAAAGCAGAACACTGAACTTTGGCGAGAAAGCCCCTCTGATTTAAGCGAGCGTGGGGGGGGGGGAACTCCCAGAAGCGAAATCCAAACAGAGCATGAAGCATCACTCGACCTTTTCTTTACCCCGCTATATACCCTCCCCCCTTTCTAATATAAAAAGCAATAAAGTTCTCTCCTTTTTAGGAGAGTTTATAAACGAAAAAAAAAGAGGGCGCTGGATGTAAAAGCCATAGAACTGATTTAAGAAACACACAAAAGCGCAAGTAAAGCATTTTGGTGAAAAACAGAGACCTTGGCAAACTTTTCTAAAATTAAACAATCCTCAAAAATGGCGGGGCGGAGAGGCAAGAAAGAGAAACCATCGCAGCTTAAACCTCCTTCGGGAAGTAGAAGCCCAAGACCGGAAGCTACCAACGAGCTTTCACAGCTATTAGCTGAATCACTGCGCCCTCTGCTGGACCAGATGACAAACATCAATCAGCAACTGGTTACTTTGAACCAGAACTTTGCTGCACAACAACTGGAACTGAATGAGACTAAGAAATTAACAGAACAAACGGCAGAAACACTGAAGGAAGTTAATGCCAAATCTAAAAAGGTGAAAAAACGTGTACAGGAATTGGAAAAGAGAAGAATTACTGATGAATCCCAGGTTTGCAACCACAAATGGAAAAAGTAAGCTTTATCCTGAGATTCCAAGGGGTTCCTGAGACAAAAGGAGAGAATCTAAAACAAGTATTGGGCAATTTACTTGCACCAGTGGCAGATTTGAAAATGGAATATCTTCAAAGCGAAATGGATGTGGTCTACAGATCATATTCAGAATACATTAAGAAAAATAATCTGCCTGGAGAAATAGTGGTTAGATTCTCTAAAAGATATGTGAGGGATCAAATCTTGAAAACAACATCAGGTATACCCCTGAAAATAAACGGTAATACCATATGGATACTAAAAGACATTCCATTTGAAATTAGAAAGAAGAGGAAGAAATTCAAAGACCTGGCATTGTTTCTACAAACAAACAACATACAGTACAAATGGCTGGTTCCTGAAGGCTTACTCTTCAGAATAAATGAGAAAAAGAAAGATTTGACTCTGTTAAGAAAGCAAAGGAGTTCTTGAGGCAGCAACTGGGAAGGTCCGGAGAAGACGACAAAGAGAAAGACCAGGATAAAGAAAGCGGTGAAAACTCTTCTTCAGTGACTGAGAAGGACTCTGACTCGGAGTTGGGGGCTGCGGCCCCCAAAAGAGACTATGATTAGAGGAAAATAAATGCCAAGAAATGAGATGCTGAGGAACTCTGAATTCCACCTTTAAGAAGCTATATTTATCTTTTTTTAGATGCTTTTGTGATTGCCTTAAACAGTAATTGATATCGGGTTTTGGGGAATATTGGCTAGAGTTAAACAATCAAGCTCATTGTATTATTAATAGATTAATAATTTTATAAGCTTATGTAATGATCTTTACTACTTGGGTTTTTAGTGGTTAACTTTCCTTTCTCCTGTAGATATTAGATTCCCTTCCCTATTTTCTTTGTAGTTTATAGAACTTTTGAGTTTATAGAAATGCAATTAAAAAATCCCCTTTGGGGGGCCAAAAAAAACCAGGCCCGCCCCCACTGCCCCCTGGTCACCTGTGGCCCATCCGGTGTAGCTCTGGGGGTGGAAAGAGGGGCAGGGGCTCAGCATAAGGTTCCAGAGGGGAAAGAGGCGCATGAGGACGAGTGAGTAGCTCCTGCAGGCTGGCTAGCCCAAGAAGTGAGGCACTTCGTGCATGGGTAATCCTCGGTGCCCAACCAACCAGCCCGGCCGTGGGTACTGCCAGGCTGGCTGGGCAGCTTCCCTCCCCATGGCTCGGCAGCGACAGTGTACCCCAACTCCTCCTCCCTTGCCACACTTGTATCGACCTCCAGCTGGGCTGCAGCTGCTCAAGGGGGTGGGGTGGGCCAGGTTGCACAGCAACTTTGGGGGACAATGGGCAGCCAATGGGGCTGCTGAGCACGTGGCCTTCCCCACCCCCTTCTGGAGCTCCAGCTCAAAAGCAGCTGCCTTGCTGCAGCTGAATCCTGGCCTGCCGTTCCCGTGGGGCGCGAATCTCCCCACCACCGAAAGCCCTCAGCTCGCCGTGAGTCTTCAAGGAAGGCTTCTCTCCCAGAGACGGGCTTGCCCAGGGAGCGGAGGATGGAGAGAGCACCTCCCTCTCCCGTCCTCTCCTCCCAGCCCCAGCCCAGAGACAATTTGATCCCAACCCCACTTTGCGCTAGCAATGGCGAAGCCGGTGCACCCCTCGCCCAGCGGCTGCTTTTGGGGGTGAGAGGTCTGGTTGATTCCAGTCCCTTTGCAACCATCCAGAGGGGTTGGGGGGGGAACCAGAGGCTTCTCTACAGAGAGAGACCTCCTTCTCCTTTGCCTGGGGGGATTTGCAGGAGATCAGGGGAGCCCTAAGTCTCAACTCCCCTCCCTATCACTCTCTCTTGGGCTGGGAGAATTCCTCATGGATGGAATCCTATTGCAAGAGGTACAGGCAGGGCCGGCTGTTCCATAAGATGGGGGCCAGGCCCTCGGGGGCGCCTGTCGGTGGAGGAGGAAACAATTCAAACAAAGTGAAATCCCATGTTGTTGCGTGCTTCTGATTCACCACACACAATCAAGCAGGTGAAAGGGAAACAGGTCTCTTGAGGTGATTCTTTTGAGGGCCAAAGTCCTTCAATAGGGATGCAGACAGGAGGAGATGGAAGTTTGGGGGGAAGTGGAGCCTGAGGCTGCATGCAATGGGGATGACAACGTGAAAGGCAGGGCATTTGCTATAAACACAGCCGGGTTGGTGGCGTGTGGATCTCGGGACCGGAAGTAGGAGCATTTTGTAGTGGCAGGAATGTTGGCTGCGGGAGGACGCCAGCAGCTGACACGAGACCTGGGTAATGTGAGTGCAGAGAACGCCTTAAAGCCTGCTCCTGGCTTATGTTGTGCATACATGGGTTTGTGACCAGCCTCTATAGAAACAGGTGTGTGTGTGTGGGATATTACTGTAGACAGCACTGAATAGCCCATGCTGGGAATGTGTATGCTGTTTGGGTTCGCTGTTTGGGTGTATGCTTTGGAACTTTGTTCTCATGACTGAGACACAGTGAAACGTAAGTGATTAGTCACACCGTGTAGAATGCTTTTGCTTTCTCACTGCCTTTGAAAATCATAAGTCCCTTCAGGTCAGGAAAGCACCTTTCTGTTGCCACTTGTCTAGTTCTGTGGCACTCAAAAGCTTGCATGCTGTTTTGTGAACTGAGTAATCCTTATGGAAGGTATTACTGTAGTTTTTAAGTGTTTTTCTGTCAATATTGCTATCTCAGTCCTGCTCCACCATGCTGGAAATGGGTTGTTGTTGTTCAGTCACACAGTCTTACTTGTCATGCTTTCTTTCAGCCAGGCAACGTGAAAGGAGTTGTAGAATCCTTTGGTTTTGTTGTGCTTGACTATGGAATGTACTAAAAGGAAGAACAGGATTGCCCATTGGAAACAATGGGAGAGAGTTGAAGGCCCATTGGAAATAATGGAAGCAGGAATAAGAATGCCAATTGACTTGCATGGGCTCCATTGAAATACATTACAGCTCAAGAAGAGTTGCAAAGCAAATGTGGAATGGATTTTCCATTAAGGTCTCTGGTCTCAAATACACTACTCTGGGACTGGAATGACAGGCCCCAGAGTGGAATGACAGTCCCTATGAGTAGCAGATATTTTGGGAGTGGATTGACAGGCCCCAGAGTGGAATGACAGCCTCTGAGAGTAGTTTCATTGCTCTGGAACTAGAATTGCAAACTATAGAGTGGAATAAATACTTTACATTTTAGATAATATTTCTGGAAGGTGTGTTACTATCGCCAAATCAGTTCCACCTCAGTAATTATCCTGCCTGTCAGCTCCTCAGTTTCTGTACAAATTCACGAGGTGGATCTGAGGCACCTCCTCTGTTGTCAATTATAAATCCTGCTCTAGTCCTCTTCCAGTTCCAGTGTCCAGTTCTGCTGCCTTCTTGACCTCAAGGTTCACTTTGTGTGTCACACTCTGCCTGTGTTCCTTGATACTTTTGCCCACTCTGTTGACCCCTGACTGCTCCGCCTTCTGCAGCGGTCATTTTGTGTCTGCACCCACCACACTGTGTCAGAATTACAAAGGTGCTGCAGGCTGAAAAAGGTTGGAGACCCTTTAGCTAGAGTATGGGTTGGGATATTTCAAAGAGACTATGGAAGGGATGACCTCATGAATATGTAAGAAAATTGAGGAGATGACATGGAGGATAATTACTGAGGTGGAGCTGATTTGTGATAACTAAACACCTTAAAGAAATGTTAATAAAATGTAAAAAGTTTAATTCCATGGTATGGTTTGTGATTCCAGTTGCAGAGCATTGAGTATTCCACCAGGGACTGTCATTCCACTCTGGGGACTGTCATTCCAGTCCCAGAGCAGTGTATTTGAGACCAAAGACCATAATGGAAAATCCATTCCTCATTTTCTTTGCAACTCAACTTGAGCTGTAATGTATTTTAGTGGAGCCCATGCCTCTCACTATTTTCAATGGGCCTTCAACTCTCTCCCATTGTTTCCAATGGGCAATCCTGTCCTTCCTTTTAGGTCATCCCCTTGACGATTCTCCAGGTGCTTTGTCAGAAAAAGGGTGTGGGTGTGGCTTCTATTGGGAATGTAAAGTCATGTTATTTTTTAATTTTAATCATCACATGTTCCTGTAAGATGTACAGGGCTTATGCTCAAGCATGTTAAAAAAATCTTTTGGGAAGTGTGTATGGCTCAGTGGTAAAGAATGAGCTTTACACACAGAAGGTTTAAGGTTCAATGCTTGGTGTTTCCAGTTGGAAAGTCTGGGTAGTAAGTGATATGAAAGATCTCAACCTGAGACCCTGGAGAGTTGGCTTTCAGTCAGAGTAGACAATAGTGCCTTTGACAGATCAGTGGTCTGGTTAGGTATAAGGCAGCCTCATATGTAGTGTTCTGATTTTAAGCTCTGCAGTTACTGTATTGTGTGGAGGGGGATCAACATGAGTAGCTGTGTTAGTCAGTCTGTAGCAGTAGAAAAGAGTAAGAGTCCAGTAGCACCTTAAAGACTAATGAAATCATGAAAGCTCATATCCTGCCACAAATTTTGTTAGTCTGGACTCTACTGGACTCTTGCTCTTTTCAACTGTGTTGTGTGTGTAGAGAGGTCCACATGACTGATGTTTTGTGGTGTCTGCATATACAACTCCAATTGAGTTGTTAAGGAGTTAGAATTGTTAGAAACCAGGCAGTGTTCTCCCTAAACTGAGTTAATGTGAGCTAGCTCACAGTTTTTCAGTCTCTGGTTTACACATTTTGTCTTAGCTCAGGAAGGATGGCTCCAGAGCAAACTAATTTATGCAGTAGCCAAATTGCTTACTCACAGCTTTAATGCCAGCAGCTTAAAAAGTAGAATTTTTGCTCACAAGACTCCACAGCTTAGAGGTAGCATTGCTGCCAGCCAGGTAACATCTTGTAGAAATTATTATTATATAGCACAGTCACTGGGCATGGCACAGAGTATCAATCAAAAATGCAGGTCCCTGCCCTGAGCTGTTTACCAACCAGATTTCAACTACAGAGGGCTAGGGGAAAGTTGCAGACATTTCAGTTCAGACCTGTGTGTGTTACGTCAAGGACCTTTGGGCATGTGCAAAGGGCCTTCTCTGAATGGTACTTCCTTTTCTCTGAAATTTTTGGGGTGAAGCCTGAGCAGTGGGTGTTGCCTTCTGACACACTTCCGGTGATGTCAGGGGGTGTGGCATATGCAAATAAGTTATGCTAATGAGCTCCTGTACCTCTTTTTCTACGAAATGACCCCTGACTAAAGCTGTCTGTTTCCACTGCCCCTAATTTCTTAGAAAACCAGGGAGTAGAATGAACTCTAGTAGGTGAAAGAGTGATTGTATCAATCACTATGAAATCAACCACAGTTTTAACAGGCACATTAGTTATGTTAACAGTGTTGCCATGAAGCCACTACAGATGGCATTATTAAAGACTGTTTCACTGTCTTACTGGACTGTGAAGAGCATGTGCCAGGGCAATGGACAGAGTTGTGATCCCATGTGAAGTGCTCAATGCTGGACTATGGACTGTACACTGTGGCCAAGGGAAGCCTTGTGCCCAAGAAGTATGCCAAGCCAGATGTGGGCCCAGGACTACAGAAGCCTTCTGCCTCTATACCTCTGCAACAGCACAAGGACTGTGATGCAGGTGAGCAGCCCTGAACTCTATGTGCACAGCCAGTAGCAGCCCTGAAGAGAATCCATGTTCTGACAGAAGACCAGTGTTCCTGCAGAGAAGCCATGAAGAGATCATTTCCTCACCACGTAGCACATTCCTCCCCCTCCTCCTGAGCCACTCCCAAACAAGGACTATTGCCCAGATAAAGACAATATCAGTGATTAAGCCTTCCTGCCAGATAACGCCTCTACCAAGCATCGGATTGTTAGTATGAAGCACCAGACCTGCACTGTGATTGGATCTCTTCACCCCCTCCTTTGTCTCACCCTCTTCCCCCAGAGGTAACACTCCCTGCCAACCATTAATTCTCAGTTGCCCAACCGTCAGTCCTTTTGTGTCCCCCATCCAGAGTATAGGCTTTTTAAATACTTCCTGGGAACCAGGTGACCACATGGTCAGTGACTCAGGTCACAATTTAGCTATATAAGGTGAGCTCTCCCTGAGCTCATTCTCTTCTCTTCGCCCCCTATCTACCTTCTTGATTCCATTCCTGCACAGTTTGGAACCACTCCATGTGTGTTGCTGGTCAACTCACGATCCCTTCCCTTATTTTGTTTTATTCATTTTTTGCTGCAAGATCTGCCCATCACATCAGAAAGGTAACATATCACTCACCAATGATATTCCTGCTCATGCAAATGTCACTATCTTTTCAACTCTGTATTCTTAGTTTTGTATTGTGAGTGTGAATGCTTGATTATTATTTGTATGCTTGAAAATTAATACGTAAAAGACCAATTAATTCAACAACCTGGTCTCTTCGTCTGTTCATGGGCTTTAGGAATTCTGACTCTGGTACACAAAGGTTATGATCCTATATTTTATGTCTATTGCCATTTAATATTCTTAATTCCCCCAAATTTATTAATAATATAAGGCAATTTGGCTAACAACAAGAAACACTCTATGAGGGCCTTCAACCTCCAGGAACAGACCATTTTTCATAGCTCCTCACCCCCGCAAAGGTTCTGAATCCTTGTACATGCAAATCTTATCATGTATTGATCATGACAAACAATTACAGAAATGTCCAACATTTTCAGGCTATCAGACATTTGTCCCTGGCAGAAAACAAAATCAAGTTTATGACCAACAACAAGCATGGGAACCGCAATGTTTTGGGCCAGGCTCATGGTGTCCATGAAGTCCTGAGCCTCACTGGCAAGGATAATATAGCATGTTAGAGCCCCTATGGATTAAAAATTTTGGGACCTCAACACTAGGTTCAAGACCACCTGTGACAGCACAAGCAGGGAGACTACTAAATTATGTCCTGTTCAATATTATATATGCTTGGTCTTGCTCAACCCATTGGGAAAATGGCCAACTATTTATGTGAGCTTGAAAGCCCCCAACAAAGGAGACCATTTATGTTGGCTAGGATGAATTCCTTTCCTTCAAACATTGTTTACAGTAGATTCCTCCAAATTCCATACAGTGAGAGAGTCTGTCCTTGTGGGGCAAATATTCCAGATTCCATCCAACATATATTGCTGGACTGCCAGCTATATTCAAATCCCTGGAGGGAACTGTTTGGTAATCTCTCTCTTCCTCTCTGTAATCTGGTAAATGGGATTGACTATCGTCACTTATTAAAAGATAATGAAATAGTAAATTCCTGGATAAGTCTATTAAAATTTATGAGGGGCATGTCTCACCATGAATTTTATATATATTTGTTCTTAATCTTGAAATGTGTATTTTGCTTGTTCCTATTTTGTACTATGTCTGAGTATGGCAATAAAAGGTATGAATGACAGAAGCAGGGAGACTGTCAGGCAGTTGGTCAGATACTACACAAAGAGAATCCCTAATTGGTGTCAGGAACCTATGACAAGGTAGAAATGTGAGTTCTACTAGACAAAAAACCTGGAGAGGGACAGAGTATTGGAACAGACAACAGAATTTTTTGGTTCATACCCATCCCTAGTACCCACACAACACCACAAAACAAACCTGGGTCTGCTGTTGAATAATGTCTGAGCACCCATCATTCTTCTGCATATACATGCAAATGGAATATTATTTCCCAGAAATTGTACATTTGTGGTTATAGTATAACTATACACTTATCTCCTCAGATAAAACAGTACCCTGCTTTGAGAGACTTAACTGTCTGCTACTTTATTAATCCTTTGAAAAAATAGTGTCATCTTATTCTTATTGCAATCTGAAATTAGACTACAGCACAGAGGTTAGATACATTTAATCTACTTTATTAGAATGATATGGACTGTTTCCAGAACATGATACCCGGGACACATTCAGATTATGGAATGGTCACTTCATTACGGAATAGCTTTAAATATATTCCTACAACTTCAGAGCAACATTCATGAGCAACTAATGAAGTTCTTGTGATTACAAAAATATTAATAAATTTTAACTTACCCAAACTTTCACCCTGGACATACCAAACTTTCCATCGGTTGAATTCTTTACCCATTTGGCTCTGCTGTGTATAGTGCTACGACTTTCAGTTGTAGTAATATTTTGGACAGTGAAAGTTATATTCTCAACATTGTCATAATTCAAAACAACATCAATCTCATTTACTGAAATATTTAACTTATCATTTTCTTTCTGGAAAGGAATGATAAATAGAAAGAAACATAAAACATGCAGCAAAATGCAGTAAGCAAACAAAACCCACCCATCGATGTTTAAAACCGACTACCCACCAACCATTCTTACATGTATTTTTAACTCCAGCTCAGGTTCCATATCTGTTGTGAGTTCGTAGTGAATAAATTTAGGATCAGGATAATACTGCAAAGGCTTGCAATCTCTACGTTCCTTCTCTATTTCTAGTTTAAGATAGGTAAACTTAGTCTCTTCCTTAGATGCAAACTCTGGAGACTGAAAATGGCATGTACTATCTAAGGAACATAAAAAATTCTAAAAACAAAACAACAAAATGGAACAGAAGTGAGAAAACAACAAAGCATAGAAAGAGTTTAAACAATAGTCATTTCTAAAATGCAACTACCATCACTTTGCTTGCAATCCCATAGGGTCATGTCAGTGGAATTTAACACAGTATTTAAAATGGTCAAGCAGCTAAAGCAGAACAGGCTGAAGATCAATTCAGACAAGACACAGGTAATGCTGATTGCGAAAGCTAATGCTTAGCAGGAACAAGATCTACCTGTTTTGGCCAGAGTGGATTTGAGATTTGCAGAGCAGTTTAAGAGTCTGGGGTTGCCCATGGACTAGCCTTGCTCTTTGAACAAGCAGTTTTGGGCAGCAGTCAAGAGTGTTCTCTATTACCTGTATCTGGTTCAACAACTCTTCTGTTTCTTAGACTCAGCTGACATGGCTACACTAATCCACATTCTTGTTACCCTGAGGTTAGATCGCTATAACATGCTGTTTGCAGGGCTTCTCTTGAAGATATCCCAGAAACAGCAGTTAGTTCAGAATAAGACATTCCAATATTTATCAGAGGCTACCTGATGGGTACAAACCTCCCCCATTTTAAAACAGCTACACTAGTTACTAGTTTGTTTCCTAGTTTAATTCAAGTTGCTGGTTACAGTTTTAAAAGCCCTTCAAGGTCTAGGAACTGCATATCTGAAGGACCATCTCTCTCTGTATGTCCCCATGAGCTAATTATGGTCCTCTAGTTGCCACCTTCCAGTTGTACCCCAAGGTTGCCCCTTGGCATCTAGCAGAATGTGATCTTTTTCAAGTAACAGCTCACACTTTGTGGAAAAGACTCCCTGTGGACCTGTATATATATTTCTCTCCCCCCCACCCCCGCTTATTCCTAGGAAGAAACTGGATGAAAGAAATTTTAGATGCTTCCTTAATTTTATGTAGCCTACCATTTACAATCCTATTTTTTAAATTACCAAATGTAATTACCAAGAACCTAGGGCTACTGTGTCTAAGGAGGCTTTAAAATGCAGACATTGGTCACAGCCAGCCATGCTATTTGCCGTCCTTAAGAACATAAGAGAAGCCAATGTTGGATCAGGCTAATGGCCCATCCAGTCCAACACTCTGTCACACAGTGGCCAAAAATACCAGTTGCCATCAGGAGGTCCAGCAGTGGGGCCAGGGCATTAGAAGCCCTCCACTGTTGCCTCCCACCAGCACCAAGAAGACAGAGCATCACTTGCCCCTGAGTCCCTAATCCATACCTTGTGGCTAATAGCCACCAATGGACCTCTGCTCCATATGCTAACCTGACCGCTCAGCAATTTCATTGAGTGCCCACGAGTTCTTGTATTGTGAGAAAGGGAGAAAAGTACCTCTTTCTCTACCTGCTGTATCCCATGCATAATCTTATAAACCTCTATCATGTCACCCCTAGGCTTACCAAGTGCCGGCCGGGGATCCGCATGTCTTTACAGGATCCCTGACGCGGGGACGGCGATACGCGGTGCACCGCCGTCACCAGGATGTGACGCTACACGTTGCTCTGGCAACGGGGCTGTTTGGAATCCCGTTGCCAGAGCGACGCGTAACATCACATCCTGGCGATGGCGGGTGCAACGCATATCGCCGTCCCCGCGGCAGGGATCCTGTAAAGACATGCGGATCCCCCGCCGGCACTTGGTAAGCCTAGTCACCCCTCAGGCGTTGGCTCTCCAAGCTAAAGAGCCACAAATGCTTTAACCTTTCTTCATAGGGAAAGTGTTCCAACCCTTTTATCATTCTAGTTGCCCTTTTCTGCACCTTGCTTTTTTTCCTGGCACGTCTGATCTAACCATCATAATGGTGGCTCTTGCTTACATTGCACAATCTAAACGAGCGATCTGTTGCAACTGGGCAATGTCATAACTTCCTCAGTCTATTGCCTCATGTAATCAGCATAACACCCAAGGGTATATTGGGATGGATTACTGTCACCTATTTTAAACTTGTAGGCTGCAATTCTAAAAACACTTACAAAAATCAGCTCATAAAGTCTGTAAGCCTAGAAAACTCTTTCGTAGGAGTAAGCCCCAGTAAATAAAATGGGACTTACTTCTGAGTAGACCTTCTTAGCCTTGCTCACAAAGCCCAGATTTTAAAATCATCAGAAACCTCATTTGATCCACCTCCTTTCATTCCTTACAGAACATGCTCACTTGGGAATATGCTCTACTGAACCCATAAAAATATGTAATACATTTGGGCTGCAGTCCTGAGCTGGGCTCCCAAGTACTTACCTTGATTCGGCGGGGGATATGTAGTTCTTCGTGGGACCATTCCCGCGGGGAAAACACAGGCATTGCACTATTCCGTCGCCCAGACATGACGTAGGCACGTAGCCAGGTGACGCTCCAGCAATGGGGCTGGAAACTAGATGGTACCATCGAGTTTCCAGCTCCATTACCAGAGCGTCACCCAGCTACGTGCCTACGTCATGTCTGGACAACGGAAAAGTACAGCGCCTGTGTTACAAGCAAGAATCTTCCGGCGGGGAAGCATGTGTCCCCCACCGGTTTGTAGGTAGGTACTTGGCAACCCTAGTCCTGAGCAATATGTATTGGCAATATGTCTCCTCAAAATAAGCCAGATTCACTTCAAACTCCATGGGAAACACATCACTTAGTATAGGAGCTGGGCCCCTTTAAGAGGAGGGCCACTGCTGCCTTTGCCATTTTGAGTAAACTGGCACACAGGCACAGTTCACTTAGCACCACTCCTCCCGCCTTCCCCCTCCACCTTGTCCTCTCTGGTCATGGTAGGCAGTAGCTGTAGCGTGATTAGTGCTGGAATAATGGATGGTGGGTCAAATTCTTCTGTGAGGGGTAAGAGTGAGCAGAAAGGAAAAGAGGGAGAACATACATTATTTTTGAAAGGTCGAGGTAGTATGTGGGATTTATCTTCAACTTCCAACCTTTCTTTGGATCACTGCATAAATGAGCTACTTGTTGCCTTTGCATAGGCCTGTGTTTGGTTTCTTCTTCTTTCCTATCACCTTACCCCATGTGGTGGAAAGGATAGTTAATAGAGTCTTCCATTCTTTTCTTTGCTCCTCTTTGAGGGTTCTGTCTGTTTCTTCCTGGGCTTGGAGGTGCAGCTTTAGAAAGGCTTCATTCCAGGGAAGAATATTGTGTTTTGCTAAATCTGTTACGTTTGTTAGATGATCTTGCCAAGCTTATCTGGGTTTTGCAATGACCTTCAGGACCTTATTTTCTCCCCCCCCCCACCTGGCCTGTATCATCTTGCTGCCTGCTACGGAGGCTCCCTAGGGTCACTCGCCAAGCTCTCTCCCCTCTCTTGTAAGCCCATCCTTGTGGTTCAGTGTGACGGATGTTTTGTAGTGACAGCCATGACCCGAGGGTAGCCGGCTTCACCTTTCCAGGGAGTGGAGTCATTGCACTGGAGGAGGAAGACTAATATTGTAATCTGTAATCGACACATCTTTTATATCAGTAAAATGTATAATAAAGTTAAGTACATGTCTGTATATGCATGCTTTATTTTAGGAGACCAGCTGTTAAACATTTACCAGCACACCACTGCTTGTATCTATGGAAGAAGAGGTACAACTAGTTCATGTTGCAGAAGCCAAGAATTACAACATTTCTGAGTAAGGAAGTTTCCTGTTTACTTTTATGGTAATTCACAGAACTGTTATACAATATTCTAAGCAATGTCCTAAACTATTTAAATTGGCAACTATTTGCTCATCAAACTGTAAAAATATTCCTTATGAGGACCTTCAGTTTGTTTGGACATTGCAATGTAAAAGAGTCATTACAGCATCAGTTCTATGCCATTTAAATCCATGTATATTGGCTGGGAGGGAGGCAGAGGAAGAGCATAACACTCACATGCAAAGTTTGGTTGTGTTTATCTGAAATAATCACCCTATCTGTCACGTTTAGATTTTTTCCATGTATGGTTATACTGCGACCTCCACTGTAACAGAGAAATACAAGGAGTTAGAAAAGCTTAAAATGTTACCTTTTTGTACCAGATTTTTTTACTGACCCATCTTGGCTTTATTCAGTAACTAAGAATAAGGCCCGTTGTGGAAATAAATACAACGAGCCCTAGAAAGAGACTCTGGGAGAGTGCCAAGGTCTTAGGCACTCAGCATCAATGTGCTGTGGCGACCTCAGCAGGATATAATGACACAAAGTCCACCATTTTCTCCAGAGGAACTGATCTCTGCTACCTGAAGAGCACTTGTAATTTTCAGTGATCTCCAGCCCTCACCTGGATATTGGCAACAATTGTTACCCAGGAAGAAATGGCTGGTTTGGAGGGGGGAGTCTATGGCATTGTACCTGTCTGAGGTCCCACCCCTCCTCAAACCTCACCCACTCCAGGTCCCACCCCTCAAATCTCCAGGAATCTCCCAACCTGGAGTTGGCAACCCTATATCCTTCCCAGCTAAGCATCAACCTGCCATTATCTGCCACCCTGAACTCAGCTTTGCATCTCCTCCTCCCTCCCCCTGGAGATCAGTTGTAATTCTGAGTGATTTCCACCGCTCTCCTGAGATTGGTAACAGTGGTTCCCCAGAAGGGAATGGCTGATTGGGAGGGTGGAGTCTGTGGCATTGTACCTGTCTGAGGTCCCACCCCTCCTCAAACCTCACCCTCTCCAAGTTCCATCCCTCAAATCTCCAGGAATTTCTCACCTGGAGTTGGCAACCCTATCTTCTTCCCAGCCAATCATCAACCTACCTTTATTTTTCCCTCACTCTTCAGCTTTCTATTTCCCCATACACACCTGCAGCCTCTTCCGTGCTCTGAAGCCCTGACTGCCACAGAGTCCACCATTTTCTCCAGGGGAACTGATCTCTGCCATCTGGAGAACAGTTGTAATTCTGAGCGATCTCCAGCCCTTACCTGGAGATTGGCAACAATGGTTCCCTAGGAGGAAAAGTAGTCTTTCTCTGCAATGGGGAACAAAGCAGCTTACATAATTCTCCTCTCCCTCCTTTGACTTGCACAACAACCCTGTGAGGTAGGTTAGGCTGAAAGTCTGTGACTGGTCCAAAATCACCCACTCAGCTTCTACAGCAAGAACCTGGATCTAGCAGACACTGCTCTGAAGCACAGACTGCTACGCCTAGGGCAGCCAACCTCCAGGTGGAGCCTGAAGATCACCAGGTATCACAACTGAACTCCAGACAACAGATCTCTCCCCCCCCCTTGGAGAAAATAACTGCTTTGGAAGGTGGACTGTATGGCATTCTGTTCAGCAGAGGCCTCTCCCCTCCCCAAACCCTGGCCTCCATAGACACTACCAGAAAATCTCCAGGAATCTCCCTACCTGGAGCTGGCAACCCTAGTCAGGACTGGCTCCAATGAGTTTCTCAAAAAGGCCTGCAAAGGGTTTCCTTTGTCTGAACCAAGCTTGGTTGCCTACTATGGCGAAACATGCTCCAGTTTACAACTCAGCTGTTTGCCTCCCACCCTCGTCCTGTGGGTGTATCTCACTCTTTAAGTTCACTGTCACCACTCATGGAATCGTCACTGCTTTTTTAGAGGGACAGTGAGACCTCTCTGGCTAAATGTCCATATTTGGAGATGGAATTCCCAATCTTTCAGGGATCCCTGGAAAGTTGGCAACCCAAGGGTCTGGCCTATCCTTGCTTCCGGGGGCTACCCCCTCTCTTTAGTATTGTGCAGAGCAGGGGAGACTACGTGGTCAGGGCACAACACAGATTATTAGCCTAAACTAAAGAATTTAACTATTTACACAGTTATGGAGCACGCACACACTGTAGCAGTAAGCACATTCTATGAACCAACATGAAATAAATCAGCAGGGGTTACAGTATACTCTCTACCTCTGGAGGTTGTGGGTTCACCTGTACTTCAGCCTCTCTCTCTTGCCCAAGAGAGCAGGGAAACTTCCATTCATTCATCAGTCCAACCGACTGTGGAGTGGCTGAATTTCTGCTGCTCCCAGGGACGAAGACTGCCTTAGGACAGTCCCTGTTTTCCCACACTTTTTGGCCTTGGCCCAGCAGATGAGGAAGCCCCATTCAACCCAGTGAGTGATACCCCTGCAGGCCCCTCTCTGGAACTACAGCTCAATTAACCTTATGGGGGAACATTTTAAACAAATAACCACAGTCATCTTACAAACACAGGTAACTACCATTTCGTGACACCTACCAAGAGCCACTGAGGGGAGAGTTAGTCCCACAAAGGAAAAGTGTCTTCGTCAAGAGAGTATGCCGTTTGCCAGTAATTCTGACAGGGCACAGTGGCTGAAGGGGGAGTGGGTGGGGAAGAGGAGCAGACCCAGCACCCGGCCAATGACACATGAGTACTCTTGAGTGGCAGCTGACGGGCCAATGGCTGAGGGAGAGCATGGAATCTTGCCACCCCAAAACAGGATTATTATACAGCAGAGATGTCGGAAGTCTAAAACACTGCATGCATGAGGTCACACATCTGTATGTGTTATCTGTCCCATTACATGAATAAAGGAATGATCAGCCAGCAGCCAAAATATTTCCTGATGCTTATAGAGAAGAAGGTAACATATCTAAATTTTAATGAGTTTCCAAAAAAGCTAGATAGCATACATTTTCTACAGTTGATATACAAACTGAATTACCAGAGTTTTGAATTCTAAGTGTGAAAAATACACAGACATCTCAAAATGCAGGTTTTCTACAACAGATTTCCACAGAATATACATATGGAAGATTTTGGACTTACTACAATTGCATGAACATTTACCTCCAGTCACAGGTTTGGGGATAATACTATTTGATAGATCTTAAGCAAAATTTCTGTGTGTGTGTGGAGGAGAGCGGTATCAGTACCAGTGAATTAAATCTGCAAGATGATTTGATTTACAAAGACTGAGGCACTTCCAAATCAAACATAATTTACCCTCAGAAACACATTCGTTCTACTTGAGAATAAAAATGTAAGCATTTTAGTATAAACCACCATCCAGAGTAATCCTAGCCAATCACAAATGAAAAAGAAATAAAATAAATTAATTACCAATGCTTGTCAGGTTTATTCGGTGGCTTCTCCATATGACATTTATGATACTGTTTTATACCCAGCCAGGATTGGCTTGCGTGGGGAGTTCCTGTCAAGTGTTCTAACTTTGGCTTCAGGTTTTTCTCATCAAACAATAAATTCTGCCAGTTTTTTCACAAGCTATAGCCTTACTTTTTTTTTAAAGAAGCTCTAGATCAGCCATAAGTTTCATAAATATAATGAGAGAGAAAAATAATTGTGATCTATTTAGTATTATTTACTTTACTAACTAAATAAATATAAGCTGTGGCTGCTTCTTCTTAGTTACTAATTGGAAATCGATTTATCTAAATAATTATTTAATTTAATTTATTCACTTCATTTATACCCCACTTTTCTCCTCTTTTCTCCATTTTACTTATAAACAGTGTCCATTCTTCATTTTTCAAATGATAGTGAATATATTTTCTTTAAACTTGTTTCTGAAAGACTTCTAATATGAATAAACAAGTGATGGGTTTGTCAACCTCCAGGTGCCACCTGGAGATCTCCCACTATGACAATTGATCTCGGAATGACAGAGACCAGTTCCCCTGGAGAAAATGGCTGCTTTGGAGGGTGGACTCTATGGCATTATACCCTGCTGAGATCACTTCCCTCCCAAAACCTCACCTTCCCCTGGCTCCACCCCCAAAATATCCAGCTATTTCCCAACCCAGAGCTGGCATCCCTGCAAGTGAAAATGCAGAACTTTTTTTTGGTGCCGGTGTGCACTGAGTATAGCAGCACCTTTTTTTGTTGGTGGAGGTTGAGGAGGGAAGGGCCGCAGTCCAGAGACTGGCAGAGAAGACGGCAGGTGGGCTTAAGGCCCACACCTGCCTAAGACAGCCAATCCCATTGCATCCACTGACATCAGTAGAAGGTACAATTAAGGGATGAAGAGCCCAAGAAAGGATAAGCCAAACTGCACCTAAGCAATCACCCTGCTCCCTCAGCAAACCGGCCTCAGGAGAGAATTTGAGGAGGGAGATGTCTTGAGCAGCAGATGGACCAGGGTAGGGTCCTCTGACAGTGAGGAGGTAGGGAGAAGTTAGGGGGGAGCCCAGTAACAGGTGGAGGCATGGCCTGATGCACCAGCAGGTAAGTTCTGGCACTTTTTAAAAACAAAAAAAAGCTCTGTGATAATGTTAATTGAATGGAATAACTAGCACCACAGATGACATAAACAGCACAATATCACTCAATTTCACAGGACTTCACTACGATTGTTAAGTCCCGTGTGAACAGGAAAATGCACATAATGGAGCCAGAGCCAAAGGTGTAGGGAGAGGGTTCTGCATATCTGGGAGAACCACATTTGATCAACTGTTTCTTTTCTGTCCCCAGATTGCAACATCTTGTGGGTTACCCACTTGTTACTACAAATTATAACAGTAAAACTAAGTGGCTTTTGCCATTCATATAAGCAAGAAAATCAAGTTCCCCACAGCAGTTTACAGTAGGTGGCCTGATAATGAGGAAGCATGTTCAGAATCCTCAGAGCAACTGATGGTGCCATCCTAAGCAGAGTTCTACTCTTCTAACCCAATTGACATCAATAGATTGAGAGGGATGTAATCCTTTTTAGGATGGCACTATGATTAACCCCTCCCTCCCCCAAAAAAATTAAGATGGGAAATTGGCCCATTCAAGTCTGGAGAGCTTATACAATCCTGGCATTGAAAAACTCTCCCACTGCTTCATTTGTCACAGGGAAACTTCAAAGTTGATCACCTGTCACAACTGTGGTAAAGGGACCCAGCTGTAGACATTATCAGGAATCCTGTATACTTGAGACACTTCGAAAATATATAAAAAATGGTTTTAAAAAATTTAAAAGATGCCCCCCACAACCTGTTAATAAAGTGACTATTGCCATTTCTCTCAGAATTTTGAAAGCCGTGGCATCAGTTAAAGGAAAAAGATGGGAAAATTGATTTGTGCAAGCCCTTCAGAAGGCACAGAAATCTGAAGTGGAAAATTTTGATTTGAGGAAAACATTTCTAAGGCCCCAATCACATGGGAGGTTTTGCCCCACAAGAGGGACGGATTGGGGCGCATCACACGGGCGCGATCACACCGCAACATCTGGGAAGCGGAGCGCACCTGTCCCCGATCCGTCCTTTCCGGGGGGAAACGCGCAGCAAAAAAGAACCTAGAAAAGAGCGGTACCTACCTGAAACTCTGCAGCAAGGGTGGACGTGGGATCGCCGGCGTGCCCGTCTTCTGCAGCATTCGAGGCTCCCGGCCAAACTGCGCATGCGCACACATTCGCAGCCAGCTGCCTCGCTCTTTGTTCCGTGGCTTCCCCCCCTCCCCCGGCGGAGCAACTGAGCAGCGGCTCAGGGGATCTGTGTGATCCCGCCACCGTGCGTCTCTTTTGGCGCGGCTCTAAAAAGCCCCACTTTGGCCGTGCTCTCCCCCCCCCCCCGTGTGACCGGGGCCTAAGTTGTTTATTCCTTCTTCATGAATCTTTCATGAACCCTTTCCAATCTGGAAACCTGACCTATAAAAGCTGACAGATCTACTGAAGTTAATTAAACTACCCCAGTTTGCAGTATTAAGTAAAAGTAGTTTTGAAACCGCTGAACATTCAGATACCATTTACTACTTTTTGATAAGAAACAAAATAATTCAAAGATTACCTTAACCAGGAGTTATCTGGAAAGATCCTAGAACATGCTGGGAGAGATACATAGTATAGTGGCATAGGAGCTGAACATTTAAACCCATCTGCCTTTATGCATATACTCTTGGCTTCTTTGCGACTTGGCGGTAAACAGAATTTCATAAGTGTGTCATTTAGCACTTCAGTGACAGGTATGCTGGGAAAGAAGAAGAAGAATATCTCTTAAAATGAAGGAATCATAAATCTGTTGCTGCTTATTTAGAAAACTAGGGGAATTTCACATTACCTGTCTTCTCCCGGTTTCAAGCCGGGAGTCTTCCGTTTCCAGATGAACCGGTACAGGGCTGCCGTTTCACACACGGCTTGCCCCTACCGGAAAGGAGCCGATTCACAAGCGGTTCGGCGTTTCACACATGCACCGCTTTGTTTCCCCACGGTTTTTTTTTTTTTAACGTTTGGCTTATATCGATATATCGATATAAGCCAAACGTTAAAAAAAAAAAAAGCCCGCGCGGCCGAAAAAAGGCGGGAAAGAACCGTATCGGAACCGGGAGAGGGAACGGGAGACTCCTCGGAAGCGGGTGACAGGGAAATCGCTTCCCTCCCGGTTCCTATACGGAACAGAGACTTTTGAGTGTGAAATGGCAGTCAGATCCCAGTAGGGAACCGGTTCTCAACCGGGTTCTGTCTGAAATGACAGACCAGCACCCGGTTGAGAATTGGTTCCCTACCGGGAGAAAGCACCTGTCTGAAATTCCCCCTAATTTGTGAGATCACAGCACCATGGAATGCAAAGTTAGCTTAATGGAAAGTTAAAGCTTCAGACAAAGCTCACAAGTAAAGCACCACACATACTACTGTGCAGTTTGTCACCAGCACTTCATAGTTTCCACCGAGTCAGAGAACTTATATTTGCCTATTGTACTGGTGGTTCTTTTTAAAATTCTTGACTCTCTTCCAGAACTATAGTCCCCAAGATTTCCAATAACTATTAAATCATTCTGTGTTATAGACACTGGCCCACTTTCCAATCTGTCACTTGCCAATGTTATCAGTATGGTTTAGGAAACAGAACACAGCAATTTAAAAAGCAAATGTTTGTGTTACTTTCTCTTTCAATTTATAGATGTGGGAAATTCCACAATCACTTTTTAGCATCACCAGTGAAAGAATATGTCATCACAAGACAGTAATTAGGATATCTTCAAATAGCTTGAAAGTTCTCATTCTCTGGGCTAGGAGGCAAGTGCGTAATAACTTCCTCCCAAGAGAGGGGCTTCTTCATCTTCTGTGTGTGGCACAGGCAGAAGAAGGATCTAAACAGGAAACTCAATGATACAAAATATATGAACTCACCACATAAACTATGGGAGTGAAGAGAAAACTTGGCTCAACAACACAGAGGAAGAAAGAGGTGAAAGCAAGGAAAACTTGAACTGAATTTTGCAGGATTTGCCGGTTCTTCCTTCATTAGTTGATAAAAAAACTGCCAGCTAAAAAGCAGTGGAATAGCCTGCCAGACAAGGTACTTGAGGTTACCTTGATTTATGCCACTGTATTTTTATTACTGTTGGAAGTTGCTTTATGTAAATGCATAAAACGAACAAGTTTTGGAAGGGTTCTAGAGACGTTGTCCTCAAATAAATAGGATTACAGAAGGCTGGACCTGAGGATTATGCTAAAGAGAACTGAAAGATTTGGATAGCCTTGTTTCAGTGGTTTTCAAAGAAGGCAGGAAGGGCTTATCTTGACATTCTGGAACCACCTTTAACTGTAGTCTTCAACCTTAAAGACCTCTGAACATTTGAAGTATCACCAGGATACCCCTCCCATGGAAAGGTGATTCAACATTTTAAATCTTTTTCCTGGCTAAAATCTGGACCCCAATGAAAGCACGTCATGATATTGTTCTCTAGAAACTGTGGGAGGAATGGACCCCACTGAGTCTGCCTGACTACAATCCCAACACTCAGGAAGGGGCAATTGATAGTTTTGACATAAAACTTGAATGCAGGGTCGTATGGAGGCTCTATGGGACTCTGAAAGGACTGAGCTGAAAACCTTTCTCTTCTTGTAGGAACCACACAAAGAGTTTTGAAATGACTGTGCTCCTCTGTCCTTTTTAATGGTCTTGGCCTCCTGTACCACTAGGCTCCAAACTCAAGCCAGGGCCTTTCAACTGATATGCAGGTGTCTGGGGTCTAAAGGAATGTGATCTCCAGAGATATTACTTTCTGAAATGTCACCATTAAGTCTCCTGCGTTAAATCAGTATGCAGGCCAGAAGAAGCCTGTTTAGATACTCTGGGGTCTAGAATTTTTATGCAGCAAGCAATTGGATTTAATGGTGCATGGCCCAGTTCAATGTCCCTCTATAATGGTGTGAAGGGACAGAAGGCTCCTTCTGGCTTTTGCAGCAGCTCCCTGGTTGTGGTGGGCAACATCTCCCTGATTGAGGCAGGCAATGCTTATTTAGGCTTGAGGATAATAGGGAATGCAGTTTCTTCCCTCTTTTCAACAGAGAGTGCTTGTTTTTCTTTCTCTTTTTATATGCTTGTTGCCAATACACTAAAGGCGCTAATGTTCTTTGACTTGTGTGGCTAGCCAATAAACCACACAGTGAAAACAATCATCCAGGCAGTAAAGGGTAACAAAAGTATTTATTCCAATAAAGGAGCATCCTACAGCTTAATTCAGCCTGGGTGTTCAACGAGCAAATACAGAAAGCAGACTTAGGCCCCGGTCACACGGCAAAGTTGCCACGGGAGAGGCACGGATGGTGGGCAGATTATCCCGCCGCGATCACACCCCAACATCTGGGAAGTGGAGCGCACCCGTGGCTTACCACCAACAATGCAAGTTAAAAAAACTAGTACCTCCAAGGTACTAGTAAACGTTTGCCATGGGCTGTCTCCAGAAGCGCATGGTGTGATCACGCTGGCGCATGGCATTCCTCTCCGGTCCCTCATTTACCCGCCGAGGGAAGGACCAGTGGTGTGCCGCCGGTGTGTCTGATCGCGTAATCATGGATCAAACTGCACCGGGGCAATTAGCCACGCATCCCCCCTGCGATATCCGGCCCATGTGTCTGGGGCCTTATATACTCTTCTTGCTCCTACTCACTTTACATCATCACTGACATCACCTAGCCATGCTCAGTTCAGTTTTCTTTGTCTGGCCAGTCATCAACCACATATTTGGCACACAGGATGGTAGCTGGCTGAATTTCCCACTCCTACAACACAGGTGCAGCTCATTATTTCTAATTTACAACTTTGTTTACTCCTTTGGCACTACTCCCAGACTTCTGTTACCTCTGACTGAACTTTTCAGGCTGGGTTCATTCTCAGTATTAAACTGTCAGCTCAGTTACCACTATTGTTCTTCTTTCACATTAATACTTGTATATAAACATATCTTAAAGCATTTTATAAACTTATTCTCACTAGCAGGTATACAAAATATGAAAACAATGACATTCTAAAGTATTAAACGCTTTACATGAATTCGTTTAGTATTTCAGAATACCTCGTGGCATGCAGCTCTTGTAGATACATTGATTTACACATTATTATTCATTTTGGTTTGTCAGAATATTTTATAGAATATTTTTTGGTCATTTATGAAGCTTCCTGTGTTAATATAAAAGCTTGTAATTTGTAAAACACATAGCTCAGTTCAGCCTGTAGGAGACACTGTTCTTCAATACAAATTTTGTACCTCTCAATTGACCCTATTAAATTGGTACCAAGAATCATGATCTAATACCCACCTGTGCTTTTTAAATTTTGTGCATTAGTTTGTGCATTCTAAGATTGTGCATTATTTGTCTTTGTGACATCATCTGCCCAATACTCCTTAAAAACTTAAAAGCACAAAATAATGAGGGGTGTATGATTAATTACTTTGTTTTTCCCAAACCTCTTAGAACATCTCCCCCTTCATTCTTTCAACTTAGTTTCTCTATTATGTCAGCTGGGTCATTTGTACACCTGCTTGTGTATAATGATCTCTCTTCCAGCAAACAGTCTGTTTGCCTTAAACTTACAACCTTTCTACAAGAAGTTTATAGTTATTAGAAAATATTTGCTTTTTATACATACCTTATACATTAACTTGTCTTAAACATAACATGAAATTCTAAACACACAAAGGGATTTCTTCTGTTACAATACATAATAACTGTCCTTTTGCTTAGAACTGGCAATAGTTTCTCTCCAACTAGAATTGCCAACATTCAATTCATTAAGCACAGCTTTCTGCTATTGCAGTTAAAAATGCAGAGTCTTTTCTTCTCTATGATTCAACATCCCCAGCTTAAAGAATAACATAGCCTGGGTTTAACTATAGCCTTTCATTGTCAGCTTATAGACATCTTAAACATAGAGAATACACATGATCTGGGTCTCATTCAGAGCTGCTTTCCACAAAGCAAAAAACTGCTTTAAACTTTTCACCTGGCTGGCTAATTGTATCAGGTCAACTTGACCAAAATTGGCAAAAACCTTTAACAAGGGAGAAATACACCTGGAGTTCAAAGAACACAACTCCCTATTCCTTTGAAACAACAGGATGGCACATTTGATCTTATGAAAACAGCAGTCCCTTTGGTAAGAGCACATAGTAACATTTTGTATAGTAATTCTTCGTGTCATTTTCTGAACTATGCTCACACGCATACAAATATCACATGTAGGCTGAGCACAAATACATTGTCAATAATCCTACGCTCCAGATTTTTGTTCAGCTTTTGGACCAAGCAAAAAGTAAAAGCAATAGAAGCAGCTCCAGGTTTTAGGGCGCTATGAATAAAAGAGGCCAAACCACTGCATTGGAAGACAATGTCTTTTCCGTACTCTAATAATCATTTTAAATATTTTCTTGACTGTACGGCTAATCACTGAATGTAATATAGACATGTGTACATTTTAAAGACAAAACAATTGATAATATTTGTAACTCACATATCTGGTTTGCAGCTACTAGTTCCCCTTATCTCCATCAAAATATTTGATGCTGTAAAATTTTGTCCTCTGACCAGTACTTCACTTTTGCCTAATGTTGATATCCATGTGGGTTCAATCAAAGTAAAATTCATGGGCTATGAAAAACAAAGTGAAACTATATTTAAATATCTATATATTGGAATTAAATTTAAAAACACAGGCATGGATTTATAACCTTCTTTCTTGATAAGCAGCAGTCTTTTTCCAACCATCTTCCAGAATCCACTGCACAATCAGCCTACTTTTGATACAATTTTTTTGTTTCAGTTCCTTCAATGTGGACATAAACCTGAAAGATTCATATCATGCATTCTTAAATCTACATTAACCACCGAATAACATAAAGAAATGGACTGACAATACTAGACTGGTACTCTACCAGAAGAAGACCCCAAAGAGAAAGTGACAGAACGGCAGTTAGCACAGCTCTCAGCTAAAATATTTTCAATGTATCAACAGACTCCTATAGACAGACTCCTAGTTTAATGCAGCTACTCACCACTGGAGTCCATGGGCTTAGAAGAGTGAAAATCTGTAGAGGACTGCATGGCTCGATGCCAAATATACCCCCATATTCTCTTAAACAACAGCATCCAATCATGGATCCATTCAATTGCTTATCTCCCAGTGGGATACAAGCAATCATCCTCTAACAATGGTCTACTGTTATATATATGACAAACAGGTTGGTCTCTAATGTGGCTTACAGCTGGTGCAGTGCAGTGACTAACAGACTGAGCAGTGAATTAGAGTCCCTGATCGGAATTTCACTAAGGGATTTTTTGCACACACTACGTATTCCTGCTTTTCTTAGCAGTCAATCCATTATTATATTGTACATGGGGGGTTTGCACAGTAACATTGGCGCACTGATGGTGGGGGCCCCCCAGTGCAAATTACTACCTACCCTCGGGACCCCCAGGACTGACAGTTCTAGAGAAGTCTCACTGATTAAGGATTGACAACTACCAGAACTGGTTCTTATTGCCACCCAGAGATAAACCATCAACAACAATTGCTATATTGACCAGAGGAAAATTCCGAGTTTTAGTAAACTTGATTAATTGGGGTGGGTTATCGATATTATTGTTGCTGGTTTTTCTTTCCCAATTAGTATGAGTCTAAATTCATGGTTTAATTTATAGGGGAATCCCGGGTTTTCTTAGACTAAGTAAGTGGGGGAGAGCTTTGATATTATTAAAGATTGATTTTGTTAATTAATTGCTGGGTCTAAATTAGAGAATTAACTGTATTAACTGCCCTATGATCAATTAATTGATTGATAAGTTTATTTGTTGACAAGAGACAAGGCTTGATAGCTTGAAGTGAAAATTTGTCATTGATTTATTAGCCTTTATTTATACCACTAGCTATAGAGAGAGGGATGGAAAGGGGGGGTAAAAAAATAAAATAAAAAATAAAAAGGCAATAGTAGGCTATTAGGCCAACATAAGGGCAGTAAGAGAAGTATAGAGAGCAATTGTTGGGAGGCAATGATACCAATAGCCGGAATCGCATGGCAGGGAAAGAGTAAGAAATTTTAACTTGAATATCAATTGCACACAGGGTATTGTCAACTATCGCCAGCTCGGTTGGTAGGTCTGAGGTTCTAGTTGGTGAGACTAGTGAAGACCACCAGGGGTGGCAATGATTGGGCATGGGATCCCAGTGCTCCTGGGGAGGGGAAAGTATAGTGGTGTAGCCAGGCAGGAAATGAAGGGGGCAGAGAAATAGGAGAGCTCAGCCCCTTTCCAGCCTGTGCCCCATCCCGAGGGATGTTGGCAGTGGAGCTAGGATGGTTAATCCACCTCCAACATTGGCATTGTGTAATGCCAGGTCTATAAATAATAAGACCATGGTCCTTCAGGACTTCCTGCTAGAGCAGAACGTAGACTTGGTGTGCGTGACCAAGACCTGGGTGCAGGAAGGGGAGACGGTAGCTCTCTCCCAACTTGCCCCTCCTGAGTTTTCGGTCCTTCACTAATTGCATTCTAGGGGACAGGGGGGAGGAGTGGCCCTATTCATCCAGGAGGCTTACTCCTTCAGGGTGCTCCCACTGCCAAAGATCACGGGCATTGTGTCAGCCTGGCGTGGAAGGCCGGGGAGAGTTTGGTGATTTGGCTGGTGTACCGACTGCCTAACACACCAGCCAATAGCCTACCATCCCTGAGGCTGGGCATTGGAACATCCCGTATCAGGCTGGGTATTGGAACACCATAGATTGATAGACTTGGGTGACTTTAGTGTCCATGCTGATGATGCGGCCTCTACTCAGGCAGCGGACCTGGTATCGTCCATGGCGGCACTAGGACTCTCCCATTATGTAATGACCCCCACTCACTGAGCAGGGCACACGCTCGATTTGATCTTCGTGGCTGGGGTAACAGTGGACCGGGTTACTGCTTTGGCAGTCCCATGGTCGGACCACCATGCCTGCCTGAACATGCCGCCCCAACACTGTTTAGGCGGCAAACATATTTTGGCTCTCCCGCAGAGCCAGATGGACCTATGCGACTCCAGATGGCCCTGCGAGACCCGATGCCCCTGGCGGCTCGTTGGATGAGCTTGTAGAGGATTGGCATAGCTGATTCTCTGCAGCCATCGACAAGATTGCTCCCAGACGTCCTCACTCTAGGCTGGCTCCCTGGTTTACCCAGGAGCTGCGGCTTATGAAGTGAGAGCTGAGATGGCTAGAGAGACAGTGGCACCGCACTCGAGATGAAGAGACAAGAGCATCTTATAGGATGCTTATGAGATCCTAAGAGATGGCAGTCAAAGCTGCAAAGAGAGAATTCTACGCGGCTACAATTGCATCCGTGAACTCACGTCCAGCCCAATTGTTTAAGACGATTCAGTCTATATCAGCTCTACCACAGGGCAGACCAAACGCCAGTGAATGGGATATTGGCTGCCAGACATTTGCGAGCTATTTTGCTGATAAAGTCTTGTCGCTCTGCCGGGACCTCCCTGCCACAATTGAAACAGTGAGCAAGCTCGAGGACCCAAGCATGTCTTTGAATTCAGTTCTGAATCGCTTCAGCCCACTCAGCCTGGAGGAGGTTGACAGATTGCTCTTGACTGTCCATCCAACCACATGCAGCCTTGATCTGTGCCCTTCCTGGCTTATTAGAGCTGGCCACGAGGGGTTTCGAGGTGCCCTAAGGGAAATTATCAACAAGTCCCTCTCCTAGGGGCTGTTCCCGGGGGCACTCAAGGAAGCGATAGTCCGCCCTCTCTTTAAAAAAACCCCATCTCTGGACTCGGCCGACAGTCACCCCAGCCCATTAGTGACACCTCGCTCAAAGTACCCTCGCTCAAAGGTTCTTTTTTTAAAGGCACATCTGTAAGAAAAGAACCTGATGTAGCAACTGGGAAAATGTGGAGGGAGGGAAGATTTATTTATTTATTCAATTTACTAACAGTAAAGCCCGTTGTGAAAGCAACACATCGGGATCTAGAAAGAGGCTCTGGGGCAGTGCTCTGGCTTTGGGCAAAAAGTGTCAATTTGCTGTGGTGACCTCAGCAGGGTATAATGACAGAGTCCACTGTTTTCTCCAGAGGAACTGATCTCTGCTACCTGAAGAGCAGTTGTAATTGTGAGTAATCTGTAGCCCTCACCTGGAGATTGGCAGCAATTGTTACCCAGGACAAAATGGCTGGTTTGGAGGGTGTGGTCTATGGCATTCTACCTGTCTGAGGTCCTGCCCCTCTGCAAACCCCACCCTCTCCAGGCTCCATCCCTCAAATCCCCAGGAATTTGTCAGCATGTAGTTGGCAACCCCATCTCCATCCCAGCTAGCCATCAACCTACCATTATCTGCCCCTTTGACTTCAGCTGACTTCTGCCCTCCCTTCTGCAGAGCAGTTGTAATACTGAGTGCTCTCCAGCCCTCACCTGGAGATTGGCAACAATGGTTCCCTATGTGGGACTGACTGGTTTGGTAGGTGGAGTCTATGGCAGTGTACTTGTCTGAGGTCCCACCCCTCCTCAAACCTCACCCTCTTCAGGCTCCATCCCTCAAGTCTCCAGGAATTTCCCATCTGGAGTTGGAACCCTATCAGGACTGGCCCCAATGTGTTTTCTCCCAAAGGCCAAAGTAGGTGACAGGACCAAGCTTAGTTGCCTACCAACAGGCAGTGAGGGGAATGTAGGGTTGCCAGCTCTAAGGAGGGAAATACCTGGAGGTTTGGGGGGTGGATTCTGTAGAGGGCAGCATGGGG